CTTGGCGGAGGGTTGAAGGAGTTAGTAGTATGTAGTTGAGAGCACAGCTTCGCCATCATCTTACTCCTGAGTAAGATGGTAACTATGGTGATGGAGCTCAGAAAAAAGAAAGGAATGACTAAGTTGACCCTCCGGATCCTGGTCTTGAAGACTGGACTTGCAGTTCTCGATGTGTGTTTTGTGGACGTCTGGGGGTCCCAAAGACCCTTTCAGATGGAACGTGAAATCAACATTATTTTATAATAAAATGAATTTTATCTAATAATAAAGTTAAGACATCCGCCCCTTCACTGTGCTAACATGTACTGCAATCATACAAAAAATTTAAGGTGGTGGCACCAATCTATACTAGTAGTCACATTCTTCACCATTCACTCCTAGTTTAAAAAAAAAAAAAGCTTAGGAATGCCCTTGGGTTGGGGGGTAGCACAGAAAGGACACACTTCATCAATAAGGCTACCTGATCTCAAACCACGCAAAGTGGGGACCAAAGGGAGGCCCGAACTTCGCCTGTATGCTGACCACTTGTATACCTAATCCTGAATTGTGCCCCATATCTTAAAAATAATAAAAAGAATGCCCTTGAGGCAATGAAAGGAATAACTTAATTGGTAATCCATTGCTAACATGTGGATGATTTATTTCTTTAGATGTGTTTTAGATAAGCATGCATGATAAGCAAGTTTTATTCAATGGGAAAATGTTTTAATCCTTTCTTATTATGTGAGAAATAATGATTATCATTAAGCACCATTCATTTTTGCTTAGCTTCACATCAGTCCCATGACAATACAAATGTATTCAAAATGCTGAACAATTTGACCAACAAGACAGAGTTTTATTGAATTATAATTCAAAGTATAAGATGAATATTCATGAATGTATACTGATAGGAATAAATGGTTGAGTAAGTTAATAAATGGGGGAGAACAGACAATTCTCCAAGGCAGAAGAATTTTTTTTTTTTTTTGAGTTGGAGTCTCACTCTGTTGCCCACACTGGAGTACAGTGGCCGCTCCCGACCACCGCACCCTCCCCTGCTGGGCTCCGGCGATCCTTCCGCCTCAGCCTTCCTAGTAGCCGGAATTACAGGCATGTGCTACCACACCCGGCTGATTTTTTTAATTTACTGTAGAGATGAGGTCTCGCTGCCCAGGTGGGTCTCGAACCCTCGGGCTCAGGCAATCCATTCACCTCGGCCTCCCAAAGGCGCGGGATTACAGGCTGAGCCACCGAGCCCGGTGGCAGAAGAATTTAATATAAGTACTTCACCCTTCAAAAGGGGGCACATGCCGGGCACAGTGGCTCACACCTGTAATCCCAGCATTCTGGAAGGTGGAGGTGAGGGGACTGCCTCCCAACCTGGGCAACTTGGCGAGACTTTGTCTCTAAAAGAAAAGAGAAGGGGTGGGGCACATAACTCCCCACTTCTTAGGTGTGGGTTGCACATAGTGATCTTCTTCCAAGGAGCACAGCATGGAAAGGGAAGAAAAAGAGTCACTTAGCAATGGAAACCTGATCAATACTACCCTAGCTAAGCTGTCAAGGTCGACAACAGTGACTAATCATGATGGCAGTGTGCACCTTCAATAAAATGTGCTGAACATGGTACTTTACCTCTATGATCTTCCTCCCTAGACCCATAAGCCCAGACTAACCATGAGAAAAACATCAGATACATTCCAACAGAGGGGCAGCCGGCAAAATACTTTGACCAGCACTCCTCAAAAGGGGCAAGGTCATCAAAACAAGAAAAGTCTGCCACTGCCAAGAGGAACTTAAGGAGATATGACATCTAAATTAATGCTGTATCCTGGAAAAGATCCTAAAACTGTAAAAAGGCATTAAGTAAACATGAAAGAAATGTGAATAAAGTATGAGCTGGGTGCAGTGGCTCATTTCTGTAATCCCAGCACTTTGGGAGGATCTCTTGAGGCCAGGAGGCTGAGACCAGGCTGGGCAATATAGCAAGATCCCGTCAAATAATATTACTAATAATAGCCAGGCATGGTGGCACATACCTGTAGCCCCAGCTACTCTGGAGGCTGAGGCAGGAAGATCACTTGAGTCCGAGAATTCAATGTTATGGCAAACTATGATTTCACCACTGCACTCCAGCCTATGAGACAAGATCCTGTCTTTAACACATCAACATTGATTCATTAATAACAAATATATCATATGGAAATAAATGTGCCTGCCATACCATAAGATGTCAGTAATCGGGGAAACTGTGTGTGTGTATGGGGGAGTGGGGTGGAAGTGATTATAGGAAAACTGTTCTACCTGCTCATATCTTCTTTAAATCTAAAACTGTCTAAAAAAAAAGTCCATTAATTTTTAAAAAATCTAATACTTATTGTGAATAATTCTATTATCTATCTATCTATCACCCATCGCTCTAACCTAGAGATTTAAAGTTCTGTAATGGGATATCCTATGCATAATTCAAGTCAGCATTCACCAAGGTCCTACCAGGTAGGCCTCTGAACTGCTGGGTACCAGCTATAAAAAGATGAACAGGCCGAGCTCGGTGTCCCACACCTACAACCCCAGCATTTTGGGAGGCTGAAGTGGGAGAACTGCTTGAGCCCAGGAGTTTGAGACTAGCTGAGGCAATATAATAAAACTTCTTCTCTATAAAAAATAAAAAAAAATTAGCCAAGCATGGTGAGTGTGCTTGTAATCCCAGCTACTTGGGAGGCTGAGGCAGGGTTGCCTAAGACCAGGAAGTCGAGGCTGTGGTGAGAAAGAATGAGACCCCAACTCGAAAAAAATGAGGTAGGTACCCAACAGAAGATGACTAAATGAACAAAATTCTGGGAAACAGAAATTTAGTAATTCCACCTTTTGTTTTACTCATGATCTTTAAAACGATGCAATTTCTACTAGTAAGGGCGGATAGATGAGAGGAAAAAGAGCTGTACTTACTGAGCATTTGCCTTATGATAGGTATATATGGGAGAAGGGGTATTATTGATAATATTATCAAATTTAATTTTAAATTAGCCCTTGAAACAAATGTCTTGTTACATGTTTTCTAGAGAAAAATCCATTTTCAGAGGGATTCAGGAGCACAGGATTGGAACACTGTCTAGGAGGAAACCTTAGGTTTTTTACAGACACACCTTGTCCACTGACAGGCATTTATGGCAGAATTCACCTTGCTCCTTTCCACACAAAATTGTCTTGGATGTTTATATTTTATTTTTTTAGTTTATTGCCCAGGCTGGAGTGCAGTGGTGTGATACTGCAGTCTTGACCTGCTGGGCTCATGCGAGGCTCCTGCCTCAGGTTTTCCGTAGCTGAGACCACCATGCCTGGCTAACATTTTAATTTTATTTTGTAGAGACGAGGTCTCGCTATATTGCCCAGGCTGATCTCGAACGCCTGGGCTCAAGCGATTCTCCCGCCTCGGTCTCCCAAAGTTCTGGCATTAAAGGCATGCGCCACCGTGCCCAGCCTGTCTCCTCTTTACTGATTGCACTCTGTTCACGTAACATTCAAGGTTATGACAAATGACAGCGTCTTATTTACAATTAATTGACTAGCTAGCCAGCACTGGTCATATAATACTCAAAGATTAATCCCACAAGGGTCCCGGATCGCCCTGGTTTCCAGTGTATTTCAGTGATCACATTCACTCATTAGGCCACCATTCTGCGTGTGCTCAGGGAACACGCTTATTACGAGCCCCCAGCCTCCCCCTCCCCTTCTCCCCTCCCCGCTTTCTTGCCATCGTGCTGTTAGATTTTTAATCTTTACATGGCAACAGCGTTTTGAGTGACTGCAGAAGGGAGGTAACCCCTGCCCCACCGAGAGCCCTCTGAAGCATCATAAAAGGGATGACGTTTCTTGGGACGGGCAGGTAAGGGCTTCTCCCGATGCTGTCAGCTTGGGCAAGGTAAATCATTACTTGGCTGCATCACGAGACTGTTAAGAATCGAAAGAGAAAGCGTGAAAAGCGACTTCGCCGGCGAGCGCTGGTGCCCTGGGGCCCCGGGCCCGCTCGGGCGGCGCGGCACAAAA